GCATTAGCTCTGGTGCATTATGGTAGCATGTTTAAAGGCTAGCACACTTAACATTACATTAAAATTTCACTCATTTGTGCCTATGTGCACTTTCATTGCTAGAATAGACTCTTGGTCTACTACTTGGTACTTTGTGCTTAACTTTTTGGATGTTTGCCTTCAAATTTCCCGAGGTTGACTCAAATGCCCAGGATCTGATGGATAAAATACTTTGTGCATCACAAGTACAAAAAAAAGATGGTGCTGGATTGCCATCCTCCAAAACCTTGGAACCTTGGAAACCTTTCTATATAAAAAAAAATATTATAGAACTCTTAAATACCAGGTGCATTAGCTCTGGTGCACTATGGTAGCATGTTTAAAGGCTAGCACACTTGATGAGAGATGAGATGAGATAGCCTTTATTTGTCAGTTGCAGGTCTTTTGCCCACAACCGAGATGACAGACCTTGCCGACCGTACATACAATACACAAACATCACATTGGGGAGACGGGTCAGGCGAGGTAGCGAGGAAAAAAACATTGAAATGTGTAACACAGAAGGATAATAGAGGAATGCACAGATATCAACACACCGTAGCACAATAAACACAGACAAGCAACATGGGAAAGAGTTCCAGTGTGTACATCTGATCTGGGACCGCTGCAATCTTTCGACTGCGCCTCCAACTGACCCGATGTCCACATCAGAGGGGAGGTAAGCGTTGGAGGTGGCGTTGGATCCGGGGTAGGGAGGGTGATGCGTCGGTGAGTGCTTATCAGTATCAGTATATGTATGTGTGTGCATTAACATTACATTCAAATTTCACTCATTTGTGCCTATGTGCACTTTCATTGCTAGAATAGACTCTTGGTCTACTATTTGGTGCTTTGTGCTTAACTTTTTGGATGTTTGCCTTCAAATTTCCCGAGGTTGGCTCAAATGCCCAGGATCTGATGGATAAACATCTATAATGGCAGCATAATGGCAGCAGAGGCATGACCGGTAGCATGAATCCCAAGCCACTCCTCGGATGGGACTCTAGGCCACAGCATCGCTCCTTGAGATAGCTTCAGATGTAATTGGGAAACCTCTCACAGGAGGCACAGATGGTAAAAGTAAATCTATTTCCAGCAAATACAATCTGAGATGATAAACGTCAGCCACCTTTCTATTCCCGACTCTCTGAGTTAGTGATAGGAAGAAAAAGTTGGCCCTGTTCTTTGTCATGTATCTTGAAAAGCAGCAGATATTGTTATCCCGCGTAACTACACAAACATCTTCAGATGATTACTTTCCCAGACGTGAAAGGCAAGGAGAAAGGTGTGACTCTATATTTTGGTACTTTTCTTTCAATATTTGAAGTCAGACACATGCGCAGCTGTTGGCATTAATAGCTTCTTTCCCCGGTGGTAGAATCCAGATTTTCATCTGATTCACCGTGACATCAAATCAAGTCTGATGAGACTGTGGAGACATTTATGGAAACATTCTAAATCGATCCCAGTTTTGTAATTCAACAGGCGAATTCGCCATCTTTCATCTCTCCTTTCAAAGTTCCCTCCCTCGATGCCTCCCTGGAATTTTAATATCACTGGCAGGCCAGCGTGTACCACCGGAAAGCAGCAGCGTTTCAAATCAAATCAGACCTCTAGATGATAGATGAGCAAGCCTAGTCACAGTCTATAATATATCTGGACTGCCAGCTCACTTCAGTGACAGCTGAAAAATGCCAATGAGCCAACAGGAGCCAACACTTGGCTCCTGTGGTGCTATTTTTTATATTTTTTTTGCAGGTACTACATTGAAATTCATTAGCGAGGTGGTTCAACATATCAGAAAGTACCAGGGGAAGCGCGATGGAGGTTTGGCTGTGGGTGGTCATTGCGACCTAGCAACCACGTGCTCCGATTCTTTGAGGGCACATCTGCTGTGCGCTGCGACACGGGAAACCCAGGCAGAGGGTGGTCGACCTGGCATTTACCTTTGTCTTCGAGACAGCAAAGCAAATCAGCAGCTCGACCACAAAGCACAGGCACTCGGTTAGCGAGGGACCGAACTCCCCGGAGAGTGACGAGGAAATGCAAGCTCAGCGCTCCCCGGGGATGTGCTTGGGAAAAGGCTGCATCCACAATCCGTGGCTGGTGTAAGGCCTTACCATCAGCGATGAGGTGCTCCGGAACATGTAAGATTACCCGGACTGAGAGGCTGCAGGAGAGGTGAGAGGAGTAAACCAGGCCAATCACGCAGCTGATGACACTGATCAGAGTCAGGGTGGTCTTATTGATGGGGCTCCGGGGGGAACCTGCTGCTAGAAAGAAGCGAGAGAGAAGGGGGAGGGAGAAAAAAAAGAAAGAGTAGAGAACTGTGAAGCAGATACCACACTTTTCCCCAAGAACCCCTCCATCAATACATGCACACTATCACACAAACATGTACACACAATGGCTACACAGGGAGTCATTTTACAGTTATTTTACAAACAAAGACAAAAACCCAACAACAATGGGCCTAAACCCACAACAAGGTCGTTAGGATCCAAACCCTCAAGCCTCGGGGAAGTTGACACAAGGCACAGAAATAAAGTTTACCTTCGAAGGGTTTTAACATCCACGCTGGAATGTGTGGAGGGAAAAAAGAGAGAGGTTGTTCTTCAAACCTTCCCTCTTTCCTCCACTTTCCTCCCCCCACCCTTCCCCTGAAAGTGAGAACTCTCCCCTTATCTCTTTCGCTCCCCAGTGCAATGCAGAAAGTGTCAAAACTGACCCCGCACCCACGCATACAGGCACGTACACACAGAAAAATATCACAGTGACCTTGAATGTAGTCACGCAGGCTTTGTTTAAAGTGCCTCGTTTTTCACTAGCTGAATAACTCCAGATCCCATTGTCACTTTTAAATTACTCTGGCAGAACTTTTTCATTCAAAAAAGGCCCGAGGCAATCCTTTAAACAAAAGCCAAAGTAGAAAGCTGACCTATCGCAAAATGTTTAAAGCTAGTTTATTTAATCAAGTAACTTACCCAGAAACTGGATGCAGGGCAGAATTTCACCCCTTTGACTTCCTTTTCAGTTATTTTTCAGATTTTTACAAAAACCTCTCTTCAGCGCACATTTCTGCCTTCTACATAAAAGAGTGGGATGTCTCATTCTTCACATCCTTCTCTCAAAATTTTCTATACGTGAAAAACAACTTTTGTCGTGCCACATGAATCATCCTCTGCATCTAAACAACATCTATTCTTAAAGCTCAGTCTAATTAAAGGTGTTGGCTACACTTCTGGAGGCTTCGCTGTGTTGGTGACACCTGTGCACATGACGGGGGAATAATTGGCTCGGAGGCATCGTAACGGCTTGTAACGCCTTCCGACAGCAGCTATTATTTTGAGGCCAGTGTCACATTTTTTTACTTGAAAAAAAGAAATCTTCTCTGTCTCTTTTCCACACCCCATTACTGTACATCAAAGTTGCAAGGACATGGCATGCTGACATATAAGGCATGCTGCACCACTTCACTATGACAGCATTTGCAGAGGATCCTGCTTAGAAATAATATTTGTGTGGAATATTATTTCAAAATAAGATGTTCTTTGGGTTGTAGATGCAACTAATGCCAGAATATTCTGCACTGAGGACCTCTGATCTCATCATCTTGTTTGATTTCCGTCAACAAGATTATATTCGGATGCACTGAGATCAGTTTCACATGCTCACAACCACTCGACACACACCTATGTATACACAGCATGTGCTTCCCTTGGGAGTCAAAACGATGAGCACATACAACACCAGAGCCATCCGCTATATGCACTGTAAAGGTGACTTGTCATGCGTCGTGGCGATGGTGATACCATCAGACGGCGAGATTAACTGTCTGTAGGTGTATGAGTCCTCCTTACCCCCTGAGCCCCACGCGCTGTTGGCATTACCATTTCTCATACCTCGACTCCGGCGGCGACTGCGGTTTGGGTCGGTGTAAAAGGCCAGCTGAGGCTCGCTGTCTGCCTCCGTCCCAGAGTCCCCGTCTGGGTTCAAGAATGTTGAACCCGCTGTTGGATTCACACAAAAAATACAAAAGAGTTCTGGACCAGTGGCGGGGAATTTGTCCTCAAGTTAGCTTCACAGAGATGGCAGGAAAAAGCCAAAACTCACGATCAACCCACTGCTGGACTTAAAAAAGGAAAATCTTCTTCTATCATCTACTGATGTGTCGGCTCATTTGTAATAATAATCAAGCTGCAACTTTGAGCATTGTGTTTTCCAGTTTTTCTTTAATATACTGTGTTTAGTTTTTATTTGACACATTTTGAATTAGCCACATCCATGAAACAGCACATTAAAAAGATAAAATACTGATGTCACCTGTGTTAAACAATCAGAAGTGCATGTTTGAGTTTGAGACTACTGACTATTGTTTTAGCCTCTACTTTCATTTTTACTGTTGTGCAGTTTGATATTATTGGTGCTTGTCAGATAT